TTGCTGCATTATTCATTCAGATTGTTCCTACACACAGAGCCTTTCCATAGACCTGCCTTGCCCCATTCATGTATCAAACAGAAGAACACAAAGGAGAACACAGGTAGAATCCCAAAAAATGATCTCAAGTCCTGCTGCAGGCCCTGCACAGCAGAGTCTGCAAAAGAAGCCTGTCCTTCACATGTGCTAGAAATCACTGGTCCTCTGAAAACCAGTCAGGATAGTAATCTGGTTGCTGGAGATGGCATCCGAGATGCCAGCCAGCAAACTACTGATTTTCTGCTGCATTTCACTAAGCAAAGAGGTGGAATCTTCAACAGCTCAGGCTGGTCATAATTCCTTCTTGAACCCAGTTCCCAATTTCTACAGCATATATGACTTGCCACTCCCATTTTTAACATGATTTCTCTCATTTAACCTCTGCTAACTCTGTAAATTAAACCATCTTCAATGCAACAAAGAAGACACTCTGTGAAAAGAAGTTACTACTCATTCTTCCACTTGGCAGTAAGACCAAGCAGTCCCCAGTGCTCTCATACACATTGATTTATCCCTATGCTCTGCATCATTCTGCTGCTGCAGGAAGCAAGCAGGCCATTAGAGCTACCACTGAAGTCTTCATATGAAATCACAAAGAGCAAAGAAAACGTGAACCCAGTAGTAAGATTCAGAGAAAAATATGGCCCTGCTTTAAGCTACAGACGTATTAAATGTATGGATTTAGGGCACATTAAGGATAATATGCTCTCCAAAATCTGGACCCTCTGGCAAGCAGAAAGAGGCTGGGGGCATTTCAGGTGAACATCTTCACAAAAAAAAACAAAACACAGCAACCTCGAAAAAGCCAAGCTGCACCAGTAACTCATGACAGAAGCTGCTCTGCTGGCTATACCAATTAATGGTCTACAAGTCCAGCCCCTATGTGAGGTGACCTGAGGAAATGTCTATTTAGTGCTTCATTACTTGTGGATCCTAACTTATAGCAGAGAGGGAGAAACAAGTATTTTCCTGCACAAAATACTACTTCATTCTGCACAGCATGGAATTGACAGTTATATCAGGTATCAATTAGGATCTTTGGGAGCCTAAAACACAGCCCAATTTTAAATACCTATGGTAAGCTAGGTGCTTGTGCTTCCCCCAGCTATTGTCAGTGCAAAAGACAAACTCTTCCAAAGGGTAAATCAGAGCACCAAAGATGGATGACCGTTCTAAGCTGTCCTCTCCACATGGATGTGTAGGGAGGCTGTTGAAATAATCTGTAAAAGCAGCATCTTTAGTGACCTACTGATAGCGAGAAGAAACATTTTCCCTTTATCACTTACCTAGATAACTCTGGTCATCAAAGCAATTACACTGTTTGAATGAAGATCAGGTCAAGGCCTTCAAGCTGGACTCAGGATCTAAACTTCTTCAAACCAATGGCAGGGCTGGCTCACTAGATTGAACATCATCTTTCTCCATCAGTAGTTATTTGATGGTGGTGAATATTTTGCAGAACAAAGGAAGAACGAACCAGGCCTGTCCTAAGTTCTGCTAAAATGAAGAGACCCTTTTCGTCAAAGGAATTGCTCAATGGTACTTTCTCCTGCTTTTCAGCAATAGGGTTCTTAAAGATACAGTCTCTGTTCCTGTCGGAATACTGCAGAGACAGCTGTCAAATGTTATTCTTTCAGGTGCCATCTGACAACGCTGAAGTCAATTAAGTGTCTTTTTTCCTGGATTAGGCCCCCCCATAATGGCAATATTTTGAAAAGACAAAAGTCAATCCCCATTTTTCAGCTTAAATTCTATTGGCTGCTCTTAGTTAATAAACTTTGTTGGCTTTAATGAGTAAATACTTTTTCAAAGGTGACTCGTGACGTCAAATACGTAACTTGAAATACCATGATTTTTCAGGGGCAGACACAGCATGTCCTTAAAAATCTCATCCTTCTAAAGTATCCCAAGCTAGGCACCTCATGTCTTATAAAAGGCATGTGTTTCTCACCTCAATATATCCATGTCTGGCTACCGCTGCTTGACCTAAGGGACACAGGACAAATTCTGTGTCAAACTAAAGCTTGAATTCATCCCTCTACCCTCTAATGCGCTTCAGGACATTTTACCTTGAAAAAATTGAAAGGTGTCTATTGACTGCAAAGATTTTCTCTCAACTGTCATCCAAGAACATGCTAATCTGTAGTAATCAAATGAGATTAATTATTTGCTTTCCATGAAATGGGATACACATTAAACACTAAATTATTTGCTTTCTTGATGAACAAGACATTGTCTTGCTCACATCACAGATCTGATCATACATTAGGGGGTCAATCCATCTGTTGGGTCTAATGGCAAGAAAGAGATAAGGCTGGGAAATGCAGCCCTTGAAGAGGGCCCTCCAAATCCCCTATGATGTCATACTCCAGACACAGGGAACTGGAGAATCAAAGATGGGGTGACTGTTGCATCTGGCACATGGGATCATAAAGGAGGATGAGGACCACTTCAGTGCACACACGAGAGAGAGAGAGTCATGTTTGGGAAAGAGTATGACACCATGAGTATCACAAGGTGCACAAAGGGTCCAGTTTCAAGGGAGTCTATTTTAAAAAGAGCTCCATAATCTAGTCAAAGCAATCACAAAGAGCAAAGCACAACAATCATTAATTACACCTTTCCTTAGCCTACCAGAGAAAGCACTGTAAGCTAATTTGCTTAATTGTCAAGAAACTTGTGTTTTACAATCTCTTTAATATAGGGAAAAGAATTCATAGTGTCAATTAAAAGCATGCAATCAAGCATTTTCAAATGTTACCTTAAAAAAGATTGCCATAATTTTCATGACACGTAATGAGCATTCTTCATATAAGCCCACAACAGAGGATAATCACTGCCTTGTTACAGGTATTTCCTGTTAGGTCCACATGCAAAGTGCATCTTAAAAAGACCAAAATAACATTTCTCTTTGCAAGACTTGTCCCTGAATGACAAAAGCTACAGAAGGCTATTCTCCAGGTTTCCAGTTTTGTTGCAGTCTAAAGAGGAACTTCAATTGTGTAGTCAGCTCTGAAATGCGCCACTAAGCAGCAGCTGTTTATGGGAAAGGTCAAGAGGGCCTAATTAACTAGTCACCGTGCGTAGACCCCTTCCTCATTGAGGTGATTCAACCAGCTGCTGTAACAGCTACCTGCAAAATGGTAATACGGATCAACCTGTAACACCGTATTCTCTAGCATCACTTGATGGGCTTTAGCTGAAATGTGTCAGTTGCCCTCAAGAACCTCTGACTATATTTTACTGTAAATGCGCTTTACTGCATGGAAAATGCATCTACCAGGGAGCAAAAGCAGCAGCATCCACGTTTTTGGCACTTAGCTACTAACACTATGACATTGATTGTCAGCTCATGCTTTTGGGGAGAATCTGCAGCCACAACCAGGTGGTATATCCCCAGCAGAATGCAATGGAGTACAATCCACTTTCAACTATTTCAGAATCTGTGGCGTTCAAATGGTGTTCAGAATAACCTGCACATCCGAACTGCAGACAGTCCTTATTCGTCCATATATCAAAGAAAGTCTAAGCTATTTCCTCTCCTGATAAAAAGATTCAACGGATCATGAATCAAGCAATGGGCTCAAGCTGCATGGCCACTGCCAGATGATACATCAGAGAATGGTAAGAATGTTCCATGGCATCAGAGAACCCAGAGCTGGTGATGGGGTGGAGGCTGCATAGCAATTATTTACAAAAGTAAGGAGGTGTTTTGTGTAGCTCTTAGATGCATACACTGCTGATGTACTGTGAGCATGCGGACAGATAAAGCAGCTCTGTGCAGCTCACATCCAGTCCTGCTTGACAGGACTGGAGAGATTTTGGTGAGCACATGAGGATTCTTCAGCTCCTACCCAGACAGGCACCAGAAGCAGCCAGGAAAGAGATCAATAGGTCATCTCATCTAGAGGATGGAGCCTCTAACAAGTGCAAAGTAGATGCTAACATTAGACCTGGAACCATGAGAGTCTGGCACCGAGGTAAGAATATTGCATATGGATTAAAGGCAATACACCTCTTTTAAGAATGAGACTACATCACAAACAGTAGTACTTGAAGAAATCCCCAAACCAGCATCAAGATAACTACTGTACTGAGAGTGGTACAGTCATCTCATTGCGGTGGTGGAACCAGGCTTTTCATCTCCCCTAAAAGCAGAGCCCATATGTGATACTTTGTTGACTTAACTCTCTTGCTTTTGGGATCAAGCGTGACATAGGGCTAACTCAGCTATCCTATTTTAGGACCTGAACTAGGATCTTTGCACTAGGACAACTATATTTCTTTGTGGATTCATGCTGGATCTCCACATGGTCCTAGCACGTATCCAGTCTGGTATGTCTTCATGAAGCCCATCCAGCTTGTTCTGAGCTATTTCTACTACTTATAAGAAGGTAGTACGTTGTGGCTAGTACACATACTCTGCGAGAACAGAGCATCCTCTTAAATTCAATGTCTTTCTGTTCGCCTCACTATGTTGGCTAGGAAAAGAAGGGGCATACCACAAGGTGAACTAAACCACAGTTTCATATTTGTGTTACTTAGTGAAAGAACCGTTGCATGTAGTCTTAAGACTTTGATCTATCGCCCACCAAAGTCAACAATACCATTGTAAAGTCTCTCCATAACCACTGGATTAAGAGGGGGAAGATGAAGATACATTTCAGAGCAGCATAAAGAAAGGATAAAGCAAAAGGACACAAACCAATCCCAAAGCCCAAACGGTCATGAAGTCACTCCAAAAACCGTCTGGCAAGCTTCACTACATAAAATTACTAGAAAACCCCATGAAATTTTAGAATAACTCTTCTTTGTTGTTGCTGCATCTTTAACCCATTGTACTGACTATAACACGCTGTCAACAGCCTCATAAATTATCTATTGCTAAAAAGTGAGCTCTAACATTCCGCGAGTGGTATTAATTGGTCTCAGTAGCACATAATGAGTTTAAAAGCTCCTACCTGCGTGCCCCCGGGGATGGTGGCTAGAGGCAGACAACAATTTACAGCAGACCGTTAACACATAGACCAGAAAGAGCCAGTCAGACAGAAGCATTGATTTGGCACAGAATCTCATCCTGGAGGCAGAAAAGGAAGCAGCTGAGTGAAAGAACAATGTAAGCAGGGAATAATATAAAAATGATGCTGGGAAGGAAAAAGCTGAAGAATAACAAAGATGGCTTATTATAAGGCAAAACTGATCAAATTGGATTCACAGTTTGGTGGGATACATTCTTTGTTAAGCATGTTTTATATGTTTTATAATTGGAAGCAATGCAATGTTTATCACATATCATATTAATCACACATGCATATTCATAAAAGCATTATACGAGTGCAAGGCATTTCTAGGAATCTGTGATGGGCATTTTTTAGGATTAAGAGCCGTCCACGCTCAGATTTAAGCATGCAGACTTACAAGTTGTGCTACCATTTTTAAACTGCACCTACCTCTAATTTATACACACATCACAGAAAAATGTCATTACTTAATACATCTCAAGATAGATTTGCTACCAACTCTCATGTAGACATGTACATGAAATGTCTAGATCTTCCTGGCACACAGCATCTGCTAGCTTTCCTGGAGATCACTGGGTTCGCTCAAGGTTAAACACTGGAGAAACCCTGGCCTCAGTCAACCATGCAAGGACTTGCTACTCTGCCAGCATGCGAGGAGAACTGCATTTCAGAAAACAATTGTTCTGCGGAAGGCAGATGTTGTTAGCCTTATTCATGTTAGTATTAGAATTAAGACCACAAATCCTCAGTAATTTTGCTGCACATACCTACAATTAAATCCCTTAATAGCTTATGTTGTGCCATTCATCACACAGAAAGGTAATCTGATCATTTCCTTAAACTGAGTTATGATGATTTATTATTTGTGTGATATATAAATGGGCATTATGCACTTGAACCCTTAGATATAACATTCTAGACTTTCAACAAATGCTGTAAGCAGGAATACATCAAATTTATTAGAGGCAATTTATAGATTTGCATAAACTGAACAAAATACTACTTTCATAGCAGTGACTTTAGTCTGCAGTTAATCAGTATGCTGGGATTTGGAAAAGCCAATCATGAGCATGCTCATTTGCACCAAAAAGTCCTTTGAGAACTTCTTTTCCCTGTAGATTTCAGTTCTGATTCCTCTATGCATTTGCTCAATAATTTGTTTATTTGTGTATCTTTAAAATACCTGAGGCCATTCAGCTGATCAGATCATTCAAGTGGCTGAACAGCCTGATAGCTAAGCTAAAAACAGACAAACAAACAAAAAAAACCCTCACACCTCAGACTACTCTACTGTCAAAGCCAGAGAAGTATTTCCATCCTACATTAAATTTGATAACTATCTAAAAATGAAATCAAAACATATCTCATGTTTTCTCATTTAAAAGCCCTTGCTTAATTTTCTATTTCCCACATCACAAAACAATTTCATCCTTTCTTTGTGTAGTAATGGGAATGTTGCTAAAGCCCAAATAACTCACAAATACATTTGGTAATATCAAAAATTAAGAAGCCAAAAATCTGTTGTAAATATTTTTTAGTAACAAACAAATTTTTAGTTACATTTTTTTTTTTTTTTTTTTGGGGGGGGGGGGGAAGAACATTGAGGAAAACCCCAGTGTCCTTGTAGACACTGTCCCTGTAGCTATCCTTGTAGACTTTACTCAAGCCTACAAAGTTCTTTTTAAAAACTTTGCAAATACTGTTAAAAAATAACTCATCACATTTGTTGATGTAAGAAAAAAATGAATTCAAAAAAAACTACATTAAGGACTTACTTATTTGAGAAAAAAAGGGATCTCTCCTTGTTTTAAGAAGTCCTGTGTTTTGAGTCAAACACATTGCAACACTGAACATACATGAACCAGCACTGGAAGAAACACACTGAGGCTCTTTTACAGCATTTTTTGAGGAGTGTTCTACAAACAGAGATAAAGCTTAGAGGATAGAGGCTTCACTTGTCCTTACCCTACAAGTATCATCTTATGTGGAGTTCCCAGGCTAATTTAGAGCAGCTACACTTCACCTAATAAGCATCAGTTTAATTTGCCTCTCCCACCCAGCTGAACCATGTAATGCTAGTGCAGCTAATGGGATTGTCTCACTGTGAAATGAGCATAAATGGTATTATTGCTGTTGATCTAATATTAGCCCAAGGAAATTGCCCCGTAGGCTTTGAAATCAACTTACCATTTCAGGAAAGACTTTCATCACCCAAACTTTCTCCATATTACACCCATTGAACCTCATTTTGTTGAGACCTGAATTTAGCCTTAGTTTTCTTGCTCCATCCAGGAGAACAGTAACACATGGCTAACAACTCATGCATCAGTTACCACTACATAGGAAGGCACAATCTGCTGGTCTTGCAATACCATCCCTCTGTTGCTCTGAATGCAAACACAGACTCCAGTCCAGTTATCAGCAGAGAACCTAGCTCCACTGGCATTCTGAAGTAAAACACTGAAGATGGTGACCTTTCTTCGGTTTTCCTGAGGGATGACTGAAAGCAGAATTTGACCCTTGGAACTAAATACCAGGGATCAAATTTTCAGATATTCTGAGCACCTCCATTCTGGTGCAAGTTGGTGGAAAGAACAGGTACCTTCAAATCGTGCACCGCATGTACTCAACAGCTCGTATTTCAGCATGTAAGCAAACTCAGGTGTTTCCACTTTTCCCAGTGAGGGAGCAAGGCTGGTCTCATGGAAACAACTGTGCGTTAACCTCATTTCAAAAGCTTTTCCAGATTTTGAAAGTTTGACTCTTTGAAGTCGTGGCCCTGATTTTAGGCAGGGAATGTGAAAGTAGGCTTAGAAATGGCCTTATGTTTTGCTTTCTTTTTCTGTTTGCAAATGTTACACTTTCTGCTTTTAAATGGAGAGATGCATTTGGGCTACAGTTCTGAATATGCTCAAATATGTGTGAGATAGCCTCCTTCATCAGTGAGATAGCCTCCTTCATCAAGGCCCAGTGTGTGCACAACTGCTAGGAGTACAGCAAATTCGTTATTTACTAACAAAGTTACGCAGAGTCCTTTGTGTGGTCCAGTTACATCAGTTTTACAGGCTCTCTACAGCCTAGTCCAGAAATAACCGTATCTCTACAGAGTATCAACACAGGTATATCCAAAGGGAAAGGCTGCTAAAAGCATTGCCTACCAATTTCAGTACACACTTGCAGGTAGATAAGACTTTAATCTACCTTGCAGGTAGACAGGATACAGTCTTCAGCCCACTAATATAAATAGAGAAGGATCTTTAAAAAGGGAGAGAGGGAAAATAAAAGAGAAATTTGGCAGACAAATGCAGTGAGGAGCACCTGGGCAGTTCAGCAACAGTGGGCTGCCGCTCTCAGAAATGTCAAGCCTTCATTCTCTGTTGGATTCAAGTGGATATTGTTGTTAACCAGAACAGCCAATCTTCAGTGCCATTCGAAAAATAAAAAGTGCTCTTACCTTGGGGACTTTGCAAGAATTTTGTTCCAGTCAAACACAATTATTTCAGTGTGTTTTTCATAGTTATTCCAGATTCCCATTTGCGACGGCAAATAAGCCTTTCTGCATTTCAGAATTTTTTCCTTCGCTTTGGGGACCTACAAAGAAAGCCATATTACACTGCAATTAAAGTCCAGAATGGTGTTGTGAAATAGAGGCTGGTTACCAAATAATTGTTTCACAGTGCCATCTACAGTGCAATTCAAGACAAAAGGCAGCAGTCATATTGCTCTTTTCACCTGCTTCCAAGAACACCAAGAAACTGTCGTAAGATAGCTCTGAGATATCACTAGATTAATGACATGCAGAGTTCGTTTTACTGAAAATTACAAACATAATGCACGCAGCTCATTGTGTCCTTACAGCCATGGGCCCTCTTGCTATGCAAACACTGTGAAAGCTGTAAGATCTGGGAAAGACATCAATCACCACAGCACAAACAGACTTCCATGTTCTTACTTGAAACCTCCAACAGTTTGAACCACAGATCATTAAAGACGGGGGAAGACCTTGCCCTGCCTTCATGAGTGTTTAGCCAAGGCCCTTGGAGTCTGGTTATCTCAGAAGAAGAGGGTCTGAAGGACTGTGGCTGTGCCTTCATCATAGCACACTCTGCCACCTTTGGCTCTCCTTGCTTCCAGGCACCACATCTCACAGAAGCCTGCCTGTACCCTGTACCTGTACCAGAAGCTACACTTTCAAGAAGTCACTATATGGAGATACTTTTCTAGCAATACTGAGACCTTCCACAGAACAATGAGCTTAAACACTCCATTCCATAGACATCTGATTCTCTGTGCTTTTTTGGTTTATATTTGTTCTCTCACTCCTGCCCCTGGGCTCAACTTGACCTTCTGCTATTGAAAACATGACACAGGGCAATTTGTCAGAGAAATAATAACGTGGTCTTCACCTACAGAGTGATCACAATAACCTTTCTCATTTTCTCCCACCACTCCTCGTATTTTACTCTGCCTTTGATCAACTAGAAATTTGCTTTTAAGAAATACAAAATTACACTGTCACATTGGAGGTGAAAGTATTTCCGGCGTCATTAAAGCAGGTAAGCAGATGCCTTTCAAAAGCTTATTACAGGAAAGCCTCTGGCTCAACATGCTCCACTCCCTTCTGTTCACAACTCCAGGAGAAAATAGAGTAACTGCTGGAATTAAAGAAGTACCAGGCCACCAATCCATAACTAATCACATTTTATTTTGCCTTCACTTTACCATGTGGAGAGTTTCAGAGTAAGCTAGCCACAGCTCAGCAGTTCTAGTCAAAACAAAACGTTGGCAAACAGATGTCTTAAGACAGAGCACTACCATCCTGTATTAATCCTTTTTTCCCCCACAAATAAACAAAATAAAAATGTGGGCCTCACAAGTTTTATTGAGAAAAAGCCAACAAACAAGCTTTTCAATACAGCATTGAATGACTGAAGTGGTTATGTGGTATATTTTTACCCATTTCACAACAGTACAGACAGATAAATGTATTCTTACAGTGCTCTTGTAGAAATCAATATTGCAACACACTAACTTGGGGTTTAGGACTTATCGCTTCCATAATTCTTATTAGAGAGGACAAAATGTGTATGCTTATCTAAAGGTAAATACTAACTTTAGTGTAGCCTGTTCTGTAAACACAGGCTAGGCACTGGTTGAAGACAAGGAAGAATGATTCTAACTCATTGTAATTAGATGGATGCAGAGAAAGAGGCAGCTAATACGGCCACCAGCGCGGCTCAGGGCTTTTTAATGCCTACCAGCCGGCAACATTTCTTATGAGAACAGAGTTGTCTGAGGGGAGCGGAAAGCAATTGTTACAGGCAATTAGGAGTCTGAGATTCAGCAGTTTCATCTGAAAACGAGAAAGAGAGCAGAACACAAAAGAAAGGCTCACCTGGTTAATAACGGTAAAAGGAATTCCAGGCTTTTAATGATGAAACCATGTTTTGTGCTTGGTTTGTGATCGCTGATTTTAATGCTGGTCCCTGCATCATCTCAGGGCGTGGTGTGACTTTGGAAAGCGGAGCCGCTTATTAGCGGATTGTACAAACAAGCAAATCACTCCTGACCTTCTGCGCCAAGAGCTCTGCTGGGGCAGCATGGCCTGCGAGGCCAGCC